AGTGCCCGGCACACAGTATTCTCTTCTTGCTCCTTTCCCTCTCTCCCCTTCCTGTCACCTGTACAAAGAAGGGCAGAGGTGAATTCTCTTTGCTCTACCTTGGGGCCGAGCTTGGCCATTAGAGTTTCAGTTTCAGTGATTTTGTTGTTTTAGTCTGTATTACTGTAGTTATTGTGCATGGTGTTTTCCTGGTTCGGCCACCCACTCTGCATCATTCTTAGGAGATAAAAGTTACCTTAGAAGCAGTCTTGTGTCACCCCCTCATTTTACAAATGAGAAAGTTGAGGCCTAGAGAGGTTAAATGAGTTGCCCAAGGTCATGCTGGTATCAAGTGGCAGAGCTGGGATTCGAACCTCGATCCTTAGGTATCAAATGCAGCCTCCATCCCATCGTACTGCCCTGCTTAGCATGCTCCATCTTTCTTTTCTTTTTCAGCACTCAGTAGTTGTGGGTTGAATGTAGGCTCTTTGAGAGTAGGGATTGTTTCATTCTTTGTATCCCTAGGGCACACAGTAGGAATTTCATGAATATGTGCTTGTTGGTTGACTGGATGCTGTAGATAATGGGAATAATAACCTTGTAAGGGTTGTTGGGATGCTAGTATAGTGTCAGCCTTAAAAAACTATTGAAATATGAGCTCTCAGTTGGCTTATCAGTGGGTAACAGGCTTGGCTGGGAGGAAGAACATCCCTTTGGCTAGCCTGGTTACAAAGACTTTCATTCTCTGTTGCCAATTCCCAGAGCCGGCATTGATCCTATATCTCCTCTAGTAGAGATGCGGGGGCAGAAGCTGAACTGGGAACTTTCATGGTCCTAGCAGTCAGCAGACCAGGCACTGGGAATAGGGTCAGGGTTCCCAGATAGAATCATGTCCATCCTTTGTCTTCTTCCTTCTGTACTCAGGCTTTACCAAGTGGAGCCACCCCTTTCCTTCAGAAGGGCTCCCTCCAAGGACAGACAGCAAGTTCTGAGGGAGGAACCCTGAAAGCAAGCAGGGCGACTTTCACTTCCTTCTACTCTGCCCTTCTAGGGAAGCTGGCATTTCCCTCACCCACAGGCAACTTGACTGGGGCAGTAGACAGTTGTTGATTGGTTTTGGGCAGAGGAGCAGTGATTATAAAACTGGTGCTTCGCCAAAATTATTCTGGCAGGGGTGCACAGGTGGAATGGAAAGGGAGGTACTAAAGGTGGGAAGATTGCTTAGGAAGCTGCTGCAGTGGCCCAGGTATGATGTGATAGGAGTCCGTACGACGCTGGTGGCCATGGAAATGAGGGCACCCCCAAACAGACATGTTGAGGACAGAACAATGTCTGATTGGATGTTGAAAAGGTAACTGAAAGCCAAGTTAAGGGAGAGGATAAAAAAGGAATCCAGTAAATTCAAATAACTTGACCCAGAACACTATCTCAGGGTGCCAAAAAAAAAAACACCCTTGGAAATGTGATTGCTGAACCGATGTCTGATCATTGGACATTGTGGCATAGTGGATGGGGAACTGGATTTAGAATCAGAAAAACTTGAGTTTAAATCTCATCCTAATCACTTAGTCGCTGAGAAAGTCACAGCCTCTCAGCCTCAGTTTTCTCATCTATAAAATGGGGAAGATAACATCTAACTGCAGGGTTATTTTGAATATCAATGAGATATGACATGCAAACCTGCATTTTGTTTTTGTTCAGTTGTGTCCAACTCTTCATGACCTCATTTGGGGTTTTCTTGGCAAAGATGCTGGATTGGTTTGCCATTTCCTTCTGCAGCTCATTTTATAGATGAGGAAACTGAGGCCAACAGGGTGAAGTGACTTGCCCAGGGTCACACAGCTAGTAAGTTTCTGAGGCTGGATTTGAACATAGGAAGATGAGTCTTCCTTCCTCCAGGCCTGGCACTCTATCCACTGTTCCACCCAGTTGCCCTACATACACATCAGGTATTTTGATCTATGAAAAATTGTGGGAAAGAGGGTAGGTGCTACAGAACTGGACATAGATGAATGTTGTCCTGATTTTTAAAAAAGAGAAGTGGATTCTTCAGACTCCAGGCCAGTAAGACTGACTTTGTTCTCTGGCAAAATTCTAGAATTTATTATTAAGGAGTTAGGTGGTGAGTACAAAGGAAGAAAAAGAGGCAATTATGACAACTTATTTGTTGAGAATAAGTAACGTCAGCAAAACTTTATCTGATGATTTTTTGGGGACAGTATGATCACACAAATATAGGGGGAGGATGTCATAAATGCCGTATACCAGATTTCAGTAAGGCATTTGGCAGTTTCCAAGAAATTCACGTGGACAAGAGATTGGGATTTACTGACCCAGAGTAGCAAGGAATGGATCCCTAGCAAACTTATGGGACCTGACCACGGTCCTGTTCTGTTCAACATTTTTACCGACCACTTGGATGCAGGTATAAATGATATGGTTATCAAATTTGCAGATGACAAAATCTGCAGATCTGATGCTTGTGTGTGTGTGTGTATGACTAATATAAAGTATAGAAGAACAGGCTTAGTAATAGGAAGCCACTGTAGGTATGTGATAACAGGAGAAGTGTGATGAAAACTGCCCAGTGGCAAGTGTAATCTTGTAGTGAGCAGAATACACCCCCTTCTGCTCTCCCCATCTCAGGATTCCCAGACTTACTTGACATTTCAGAAACCATTCTTTATCTTAGCCTTTCCAGTTTGATAGAACCTTTCCTACCATTATAACTTTGACTTTCCCAGAAATCCACCTCCTCCTTCCCTGCTACATTGTCACCATGGGAAACTTTTGCCCTGGGACTCTCTTCTCCTTACTTATTTCACCCTGAGATCACCGTTTAACACAGGACCTCCTCTTGCCCCTACCCCTGCCCCCATAGCCCATCCATTCCCAGCACTGCTATATGTGTCTTTTCCCATTAGAATGTAAGGTCCTTGAAGGCAGGGACTATCTTGTTTACACGTATTTGTATCCCTAGCGCTTAGTATACTGCCTGGCACATAGCATGTCCTTAAAAATGTGCTACCTATCTATCCATCTTTGTATCTCTTCATCTATCTGTCCATCTACCTACCTAGGCATCCATCCATCTATGCCAGATCTTGTTTCAGTTTGCTGACATGGTACACAGAGAAAGTTAGGGTAAAATGATTCTGTAAAGTTCTGAAGAATCAGAAAACTGGTAAACATCCCAGAGGACAGATAATGAAACATGCCTACTCCTTCAGAGTGATGTGCTGGGTTATTCCTGGGACAGGCTATTACATAAGTTGTCAGACGTGGTTACTGTATCAATGTTTTTGCTTGTGTTTTTTTTTTCCTTGTCAAGAGATAAGATCATCACCCAAGAGCCGGAAGAGATCTTAGAGGGCATTTAGTCCAACTCTCTGACTTTACAGATGAGGAAACTGAGGCCTAGTGAGATTAGGTGACTTGCTCAAAGTACTTGTTGACTGTCCAGCTAGTGCCTAAGGCAGGATTTGCACCCATTTCTTCCTGACTCTAGGTCCAGTGCTTGCTTGATCTGCCTACTAGGTCATACCAACTTCCCTAAAAAGAAAAACCGGCAGCTGCTAGAGTATCCAGGCAGTCTTACAAGGCCAGACCTGACCCTGCTTTACTTCAGAGAGCAGACGAGGGTGGGGTTCAGTCTAGGGAAAAGGCTGAAATAACTAGGATGTAAAGACAAAAGGCACGCACCATGAGGGTGTATTTAAATTAAAATAAAAAAATAGATTTTGTGGGAAGACAAAAGGTTCCTGAAAGCTGGGGTGCAGCCAGCCTCAACCTTGGGGAATCAGAGCCTTCACTTGACCCACTATTGAACAGGAGGAGGCTGAGCGAGGTCTTGGCAGATTCTCTCTCTTTTTTTATTTGACAAGAATTCTCAGAAAATCCACACACACCAGAAAGATGCCTGCTGCTCTTCTGGTGACCAGCAGCCTCGTCTGGGCCACGCTATCCTGGTTTTGTCTCCCCAGCCCAATCCTCCTGGCATGACGCTCCTGGCCTTTGGCCGCAGGGAGCAGTGAGTCCATTGATGATGACTGCCTGGTAGGCAGCGGGGGAGGCCCCTGTGACCTTAGCTGGGGAGGTGTCTCTCCTGGACACGAAGAGATGGTCTCACTTTAGATTTAGAGAACCAGAGGGGAGGGCACAAGGAAAGAAGGAAGTCCTTGTCCATCCGGGGATTGGAGGCCTGACTGGAGTAGGAGGGGAGTGAAGGGAAGAGCGTGTGTGAGTTTTAGATGACCCTCTATACCTAGTCCTCACTCCTCCTTTTGGAGCCCTGGGGACCCTCCCCAAGTCCATGCCCTTCTTCCTGTTTTTTGCTTCTCCCAAACTCCCTCAGCTCCCAACTTAGATAACTGCACCTAGGATATCATCTAATCCAGCATCCTCATTTTACAGCAGAAGAAACTGAGGCCAGCGAATTCAGAGCAGAACTGTGATGGAACCCACGGTGTCTGACTTGAAGTCCTGTGTTTTTCCCCTGGCATAGGACTGTGCTTCAGAGGTAAAATGAGGGAGTAACCTTTGCCTTCCCATCATTCACCTTTCCATTGGCCCTACTTGGAGTAGAGATGGGGAGAGGGAGATGGTAGTTTGCGGTGGCCAGGGCTCCCTCCAGCTTTCTAGCCTGGGGAGGCAGGGACCATTCAGCTGCTTGGTGGCAACTAAAGGCTCGTGATGCCAGATTCCCCACCTCCCTACCCCCCAATACAAATAAATCTTCACCTCTCTTCCTGGGATGATTCCCATTTAGGGGCTGAAATGAGGTATGGGGGTGGTGAGGGGTGGGAAAAAGGGGGAGAGTGAGGGGAGAACAGTGAGACATACTAAAGACACCTTGGCGGGATGCCCACTTGTAATTTTTGCATGGCTGGTGGCCATTGTATCATGGATACAATACCTACCATAGTGGGATGGGGAACATGAGGCCAGACAAGGGGTCTGGTTATCTCGGTGCTTCCTGTCCCCCAAAACCCTCTTTCTCCCTGGGGTCTGCTTCCCCCTGTCAAGGCTGGAGCAGCTATTATGTTATGATCCTGGGTATACCTGCCCCACCCTCTGACAGAAGGATTCTGGATCCCACACCCAGATGAGAAGCACTGGGGTGGGGTGGGGGGAAATCCCAAGCTGTTGAGGGTGGAGGTGTACAGCGTAGGTCATGCCGGGCTAGTTGCTAGGCCCCTAGGAGGGGTTACTGAGGCTGCCCTCTGTGACAGCTCGAGCAGCCTGCTCAGGGACACTGGCGGGGTCGGTCAGGATGCAAGTAGAGGTGCTCAGCTGGCGGAGGGAGCTCAGGATCGCTGGTAAGAGAGGGAGACAGCCACCCATGAGATCATTTGTACCCATCCTGCCTGTGGGGGTGGGAGGAGGAGTAGGGCTGGGTGTGGGGAGTAGAAAGGGGGGGGGATTCTGGGCCATTGGTTTGTGTCAGAAATAGGTAGGCATTGGATTTCTTAAGACCAAGGGTCTTGAGTCCTGAAATCTTGCCCTCCACCGTGCCCCCTTTACCCCACTGATGGAGTAAAGAGCTATGACAAATGGAGGGTTGTGAGCTATGCAGGGGAGTGTGGTAGGTGGGATGAAGGGAGTGGAAGCAGGGAGGAGGGAAGCCTGGCTGGCTGTCTGGCTGGCAGTGGTAGAGGAGGATGACATACTAGGGCGCAGGGCAGGCAGAGAACAGTACTGGTCCAGCCAGGCCAGGGAAGTCTGGCGTAAGCTGTGTAGGCTTGCTGTGGACACCATCCCGTTGAAGGACTCAAATAAAGGCCGGATAAGGATGCTGAACTGGCAGCCCAGTGGGTCAAGGAAGATGCAGCCTGGACAGGATTCCCTCTCTGTCTGTTTTCCCTCTAGCCTACTGTAAGCTAACAGACCCGGAATCTTGGACCTTCCTGTTCCTAGGCCTCTTAACCAGCTCTCTCCCCCTTTTGCTGAGAGTTGACCTGTGATCCTTTCCCATTATTAGGACCCACAGTCAAGGGTCCCCCAAGGACTGTCCCTGAAGAGAAATAGACAGGAAAGGGGGCCTCCCTCCCGCTTCAATTTCCTCATCTGTAAAATGGGGATGATGGTAGCATCTACCTCCCAGGGTTTTGTGAGGGCTAAATAAGATAACATAGAGGGTGACCCAAAAGTCTTAGAATAGTTTCAGGCTAACCTGCATTAAGACTTTTGGCTCACCCTGAAGGTTAAATGCTTAAGAAACCTTAAGGCATTATATAAGTGCTAGCTATTTTTGTTAGTCCCAGTACCTGGTGCATAGTAATTATTTGAGTCAACAAGTCAACATACACCTAGTAAACACCTAATATGTGCCAGGTACCATCCTAAGCAATGGAATAATTAATAAATAACTTAATAGATTAGGGGCAGAGTTAGGCTTCAAGTGACGCTGAAGGGTCAACGCCACCAAGAATGCCTGAGCCCCATGCCCCTCCGCATGCTTCTCCATGGGCCTTTGGATGAAGTCATCAGTTTGGACCAGTAATGACCAAGCATTCCTCCCCTCCATGTCCTGGAGGCTGGCTCTGGGCCATTTCCCTAGAGCCCTCTGGACAATGTGTTCTTTCTGCTTGGAGAAGGATACAACCCAGAATTTCCAGTTGTGCAGGGTACGAGCCCGGACGTAGTCATCAAACATGTCCCTCATCTGGTCAAAGCGCTGGTGAGTGATGGGCACGCCTGTGGCGGGCAGCTGCTGTTGGCAGAGGCTGCGGACCCCAAGGGAAGAGACAGGGTTAGGTCAGCACCCCAGGGCATCTGGCTGGGCATGGGGGCATCTTCATGACCTACCCCACCCTTCCCAGCTTCCCTCTCCGTCCCTGCCAATGAGCTGCCAGTCTCCCTACTTGATGGCAGTATTGAGCTCTTCGATCTGGTCCCGTAGGTGCTGGGCCTCCTCCTGCATGGCCACCCGCTCCTGCTGCAGCATCACAATGTATTCTGCTGTCTTCTGCAGAGTTGTGGCCTTGCTCACCTGGGGGATGGGGCCGGAGGAAAAGGCAATTGGGGTAACTCCTAGGATCATGGGGAATCCCTGGGGAGGAGGTTCACCTCTCCTCGGTGCAATAAGATAAACATTTATTAAGCACATGTTGTGTGCAAGGTACTCTGCTGGCATTGGGCATACAAAAATTCAAGATGCCCATCTCTGCCTTCATGGAATTTTTCATTGGTTGGCATGGGGGAAGTGATATGTATACAACTATGATTCCAATTAGAAATTCAACAGGTGCACAGCAAAGATTAAAGATGCCTGTAGTTTGAAGGAAGGAAGGATGGATGGAAGAAAGGAAGGATGGAAGGAAGGAAGAATGGATGGATGGAAGGAAGGACAGATGGACGGATGGAAGGATGGATGGACAGATGGAAGGAAGGAAAGATGGATGGATGGATGGAAGGAAGGATGGATGGATGGAAGGATGGATAGAAGGAAGGATGGAAGGAAGGAAGGATGGATGGATGGAAGGAAGGGTGGATGGATGTATGGAAGGAAGGATGGATGGATGGAAGGAAGGAAGGATGGATGGATGGATGGATGGATGGGAGATGGGAGGCACAGAGGCAGGGACAACAGCTAGGAGGCTATTACAGTAGGCCAGCTTAGAGATAATAAAGATTTCCACTAGGATCACAGCAACACCAGTGCTAAGTGTGGGAGAGGTATGAGCAGCATTTGGGAAGGAGAAACAATCAGGCATGGCAGCAGATTAGAAGCAGAATGGTAAGATGGAAAGAAATCTGGTTCTGGCATTAGAGGATCTGGGTTCTAGTCTCACCACCTCTGACACTTACTCCCTGTGTGACCCTGAATAGATCATTTCCCTAGGCCACCATTTCCTCCTTGGGGTGTCCAGGTTGGGCACTACCCGCTGTGGGGGCCTCACTCACCTTAAGGCTGGGCTGGGCACTGAGTGTGCTCACCAGCCCATGCAGAGTGTCAAATCCCAGTTTGATGTTGAAACGTCGCTTCTGCTCCGCTGAGATATGAGTGATGCGCCGGTTCTCCATCTGTAGGAGATGAGCCAGGGCTGATGGGAGAGTGTCTGGAGGGAGGAGGCCTGGGGAGGGGAGGGGGCAGGCAGAAGAGGGAGGAAGGCCCACCTTGTTGTTGTCTGGGCGTCCTCTGACCAAAGTGGGCTGTGGGGGAGAGATCCGTGTCCCCAGCCCCGCTGGGCCAGGCATGGGGGGCAGCTCCCCAGACAGATGCCGCTCATTCCCTACCATGGAGACAGAAGACAGCCATGCTCAGAGTGTTCTTACAAGTCTCAGCATCTGGATGTAGACCCTTGTCTTGCCGCCCTTACAGCCCTCACTCTGTTGCTTCTTTCCATCCCCCTCTCCTTCATCCTTTCCTCACTACATCTGTGATTTCCCTGGCCCTCCCTGGCCACCACTTCCCTATATGCGCTGTTTCCCTCTTGTAATGTGAGCTCCTTGAGGGGAGGCCTGCCTTGCTTTTTCTATCTGGATCCCCAGCACTTAGTACACATAAATGCTTACTAAATGCTTTTTCTTTCATTCATTCATTCATTCATTCATTCATTCATTCATTCATTCATTCATTCATTCATTCATTCATTCATTCGTCCATTCAGTGATTCATTTATTCAGTAACCATACTTTTTCCTTCCCTTGGCACCAACCTCATCCCTTCCTACCCATCCTCACCAGATGCTGGAGGTGAAAGCCGCTCTGCTTTGGGTACCAGTAAGGGTCCGGGAGGAGCCAGTGTTACGGGGGTCAGGGTGGGCTGAGGCTGGGGCTGAGCCACAGTGGAGGAGTAGAAGGCACAGGGGAAGTCAGGAGGTCCTGGCTTCTGGAGGACAGATGAGGAGGAGGGAAGAGGCCCACTCCATGTGCTTGCATGGACTCTCCCCCTCTGTCTGGCTGGGCAGCCGGGCCCCCCAGTGGCCACTCTTACCGAGGATCCAGAAGGCCTGAGAGTGGTGCTCGAGGGGAGTGGTGCTTCCAGCATTTGTTCTGGTTTGGCTGAAGAGGAGGATGAGCAGCAAGGTGTGAGAGAGATCCAGGCCAGCCCCTGTCCAGGGCCTCCTCACTGCCCCCTGCCTCACCTGCCTTCACTCTCAGCAGGGTCCACTGGGCTTGACTCAGGGCAGCTTTCTCCACCCCAAGCAGCCAGAACTAACTCTTGGGGCCGCTCATCTCCCTCTTCCTTCTGCCCCTGATTGTCCCTCCCTCCCTGTAGCTCCTACTCCAGCTGAATCCTCCAGCCTCTTCCCTCTGCATCCCTTCAACAGCTCACTCAGGGCTCCCAAGTGGGGGTCCCTGCCCCTTCTAGCTCCTCCACTTTTCCAACTCCCTTTCCATCAACTTTACTTCTTACCCCCATCCCCTCCACTTCCTCCCTCTGATCTCTCCAGACCCCCCCTTACCAGCAGTAAGCAGCTGTGTGAGACAGGGGTTGGACCCCCCAGCTAAAGCTGGGGGGCTGGGCCTTCGAACCCGAGGGACTGGTGTTGGAGGCTTGCTTTTGAGCCGTGGGCGGGGCACGGCAAATTGGGGCCCACTGCAGGGCTCTGGGTATCCTGAAGGAAGGAGCTCCAGGGGGAAAGGGGAGGGGGAGGGGCCAGTGTTGGGGTGGGTGGGTGGGAAGTTTGTGGGGGTGGGGAGTGGGGAGACTGCTGAAGGGGGTGCTGTGTTAGGGAAAGGAAACCTGGGTGGGTATAGGGAATCCTCTTGCATCAGGAGAGGGGAAGGGGCCAGAGGGGAGAAGGGAGTAGAGGGACAGGGCTCCAGGCCCGGCACCTTGGTGGGAGTAGGGAAATGGAGTAGGGACTGGGGGGGTTTGGCCTTGGGGTCTTCTTGCAGGAGGAAGTCGGGGCTCAGGAAAGCAGGTGAGTCCAGGGGTCCAGAGCAGCTGCTCCGGGCCTGAAAGATGGACAGAAAGCTTAGTAGCTGACTGAGCCCTCTTCCACACAATCTCCTTCCACTCATGAGCAACTTTCCTGGAGAGCTCCATGCTGGGCACGATGAGGGGAAAGAAGAAGGAGGCACAATCCTGCCCTTTGGAAACCCCCAAGCTAATGACCTTCTGAGGGATGTCACTAATGGGGAGGACAACTGCAGTCTCTGGGAAGGGAAGGATGGATCCTATGGGACGAAGGAATGGTTAAAGTGCAAAGTGGGAAGGAGGTGGTGTCACTGGTCCTGAACACAGGCCAGAGAGGAAGGGATATGAAAGCACCAGGGTCAGGAGTGAACAAGAGCTCTACAGATGAGTAAACTGAGGCTAGAGTGAGCCAGGATCACAGGAGCACGGATGTAGAGATGGAATGGACCCCAGAGGCGGTCCTGTCCGACCCCTTCACACAGATGTGTAAACTGAGGCTAGAGTGACCCGGGATCACAGGAGCACAGATGTAGAGATGGAATGGACCCCAGAGGCCGTCCGGTCCGACCCCTTCACACAGATGTGTAAACTGAGGCTAGAGTGACCCGGGATCACAGGAGCACAGATGCAGGATGGAATGGACCCCAGAGGCCGTCTGGTCCGACCCCTTCACACAGATGGGTAAACTGAGGCTAGAGTGACCCGGGATCACAGGAGTATGGATGTAGAGATAGAATGGACCCCAGAGGCTGTCCGGTCCGACCCCTTCACACAGATGGGTAAACTGAGGCTAGAGTGACCCGGGATCACAGGAGTAGATGCAGATAGAATGGACCCCAGAGGCTGTCCGGTCCGACCCCTTCACACAGATGGGTAAACTGAGGCTAGAGTGACCCGGGATCACAGGAGCACAGATGCAGGATGGAATGGACCCCAGAGGCCGTCCGGTCTGACCCCTTCATTTTACAGAGGAGAAAAACAAGGCCCAGAGAGATGACATGATTTAGCCAGGATGGCCCAGTTAAGTGTCTGAGATGGGATTTGAACCTAGGCCTTGCTGACGGTAAGGCCAGCACCGTGTGACTCTCCAGTACACTTTGCTGCCCTGAGTTGACAGAATGTAGTTCTCTGAGAACGTTTCATTTTTGTCTTCATCCCCCCAGGACCTCACACCACGCCTGGCACATAGCAGGTGATTAATAAATGCTTGCTGACTGACTGACTGAGTCCCCTCCTTCGCATTACCACTGCCCTCACCCTTGCTGAGACCCTCATAACCCGCTGCCTGTCACGTAACCACTCCGAAACTTGTTTCTTATCCAGTCTCTTGTGTCCGAGGGAAGGGGCAAGAGGAACGTGCATTTATTAAGTGCTAAGTGTTAGACGTGAAAAAAAAAAGCACAAACAGTGGCTGCCCTCAAGAAGCTGACATTCCCAAGGGGGAGATGACATGTACACCTCTAAGTCTAGGGCAGATACGTACAGAGGAGCTGGAGGCAGAACCTTCAGTAGAAGGTGGGACTTGAGCCCAGTTTTTTTTTTTTGCCTAGGCAATGGGGTTAAGTGCTCAGGGTCAAGTGTCTGAGGCTGGATTTGAACTCAGGTCCTCCTGACTTGAGGGCCAATGCTCTATCCACTGTGCCATGTAGCTGCCCCTTGAGCTCAGTCTTGAAGGAAGCTGAGGATTCGGAGAGGGAGGGCGTTATAGGCGTAGGGGACAGCCACTGCAAAGCCATGGCGATGGGAGATAGAGCACGGTGTGTGAAGAACAGAGGGTCAGGTGGTGGCCCACATTCCTGCAGTGCTCCAAGCTTCAGTAGTCTGACATTCTAAGCCCTCTGCAGCCCACGTTTTCCTCCCTGTCAAGATTTGGCTCTGATTTCCTAGCTCTATGACCCTGGGCAAATCATTGATCCCCTCAGACCTCAGTATCCTCATCTGTAATATGGGAACAATGATCCCAGAACCACTGACCTAATAGGGTTGTGGTGAGAAAAGATGCTTTGTAAACAGCTGAGCACTCCACAATGGAGTGTGACTTCTGTTCCCCAGACATGCCTTGCTAATTCCAGCCTCCATAACCTTGCTCATACTTTCCCCACCTCCTGGAAGACCCTCCCTTCTTTAAATCTCTCCCTATCCATATCATGCCACCCTTTAAGGCTCAGTTCAAGTTCCACCACCACCAGGAAGCCTTCTGGGATTGCCCCAGCTTGCGAGGATGGTATTTGGCTTCCTCCAGCACTGTCTGGACCACACAGGTGACCTAGGGCCTGTCCTTGTAATACTGTATCTTATTTAATTGTTTCATATGATTGAGAATGTGGGGAAGTCTTTTCTTCTCAATCAGACTGTGAGCTCCTCAGGGCTGGAGCGTGTGTCTCCTCCTGGCTCCCCCATGGCCTAGCCAAGGATGGGGTTTGTAGGCTACATGAATAATAATCGATTAGAAGAGCAAACATTTCTATAGTGCTTCCTATGTGCCAGGCACTGTGCTAAGTGCTTTACAATTATGATCTCATCTGATCTTTACAACCACTCTGGGAGGGAGTCCTCACTTTACAGGTGGCTAAACTGAGGCAGACGGCAGTGAAGTGACTTGCCCAGGATCACATAGTTAGGAAGCGCCTGAGGCCAGATTTGAACTCAGATCTTACCTGACCCCACTGGGCCACTTAACTGAACGAACAAGTCTTGAGTAATAAGACATTAAAGACTGAGATGTTGTGGGGGGGGGCGTTGCTGGAGAGGAGGTGGGAACAAACACTCACCTGTAGGCGGCTACCCACGAGGAGGGGCACCCCTGGCAAGGTGGCTGGGGATTCTGGTGTCAGGAACCCGCCACTAAACAGAGGGTCAGCCATGGGGCTAAAGCTGGGGGGCTCTGGGAAGCTCACAGGTGTTGACGGGGGCCGGTGGTTGGTGAAGAAATCTGTAAATCAAAGGCAGGCCAGGCTGGTCAGTTCCCTCACAACTGAGGCCCGCTGTGGCCCTTCTCTTTCCCTGGCAACTTTCTCTGACACACTCCAAGCTAGCAGGCCTTAGAGAGGGAGAAGGGGTCTTGTTGCCCTCAATAAGCCAGTCAGGGTGAAGGTTTCTGGTGTGAGGGTGGGTGGCTGCATTTTTACAGTTGATTGTGAAACTGGGAGAGTTTCTGTCTCACTCATGGGGGAAGCAACCTTGGGGTGGGGTGGGCTGGGGTGGCCCAGGAGAAGGAGAGGGCTGAGATCCCAGGAAATGGCCCTCCCATGGGGTGCCCTGTTGCCCAGTCCATGACCCCCATTCCTGGGCAGGGTTCACCCATTCTGGTTAGGAGAGGGAAGGGAAGTGAGAGGTCGGAGAGAGGGGAGGCCATGAACTGGGCAGTGAGAATAAAGAAGAACAGGGAGGGGCAGGTCCTTGCTGGGTGGAGGGAGAGAAGGGGAGGAATGAGCCCAGGAAGGGGGCAGGGACAGCCCCAGCTTTAGATATGGGGGTTGTTTGTGTAAGCTGAAGGCTATTCTGGTTTTGGGAAGCAGCTGCCTGGGGCTTAACCACATCCCGAGGGCTTTCCGAAGCGCCTGCCGCCAACCGCCTGCCTGCCCTCTTCCCGGCACCTTTCTCCAGCCCTGACCCTGCTACTGGTACCCTGGCCCAATCCTGCAGTACTCTGTGGGTTGGGAGGCTGGGACCCTGGAGAAGGATCGAGGGAGAGAGAGAGAGGGAATGAGCCTCACGCTCCCTCTCCTCCCTGGAGGACAATGTGGGGGTGGGCTAGGCCCCTTCTCTTTGTATAAGGAGCCCCTCACCCCCAGGGAGGCACAGACAAGGAAGGAGTGACTGGGAATTTAGGGGTCATCAGGTCTACTGCTGTGTGTCTGAGCACATCTCCATAACTAGGGGTAGCCATATGTGTTTATGTCTATTGATTCCTTGTAGACAATGGGATGAAATTGGACCCCTGCCCTCCTCACCCAGAGCTGACTAAGCCCCCAAGGTGGGGAAGCAGAGACAAATGGCACCTGAATCCCACCCTTCCAAGCTTCCAGGAACCATGGTCCTAACTTTGCTCCTGAGGCTGTGACCTGAACTTCTGGTCAGCCTTGTTCTTTCTCTTCTATTCTCTCTTTTGACCCTGCCCCTCCTTAGAAGTGTTTGCCTCTGACTACCCCCTCCCCCAATCTGCCCTTCTCTCTATCATCTCCCTGCTCTCTTGTCCCCTTTCCTCCTATTTTCCTGTAGGGTAACATAGATTTCCCTACCCAATTGAGTGTGTATGTTATCCCCTCCTTAAGCCAAATCGGATGAGAATAAGATTCACTCATTCTCTTGTCCCTTCTCTTCTATACTCTTCTGCAAGGAGCTGTGGTATCCCAGGGTCAGACCAACCTCCACCTCTCATTCCAGGCCAGGATTAGGTAAAAGGATCTCAAAGCCTGAACAGGCCTGGATACATGAGCCTTCCAGGACTTTTCCCGGACACTCAGCAGTCCATCCTGCTCCAAGCCCCCATTTCTGCTGTTGAGGCTAAACTGAGAGAACTCCCATTCCCGACACTAAGCCCATCTCACTGCTGATCCCCAGCACCGAGTTGCCAATCCTTGGGCTGCACCTCTATCTCCATCCCAGTACAAAGCCCATCCCTAAAATGGAATCCTTACCCCTAACTTTGGAATGCCTCTTCCAAGCACTGATTCTCTTCTCCCTGACCCAATGAATCCCCAAGTCCCTGTCTCTGAGACCTCATCAGTGAGTGCCCTGATCGTAAGCCCCCATCTCTGTCCCCACCATAAGCCCCCATCCCTGACAGTCAAATCTCCATCTCCAGCAGCGGAGCATCATATATGACACTGAGCCCTCGTCCCAGGCAGTTTCTCCCCAGCACACACAGCACAGAGGCACCATCTAACTGTGCAGCATTAACTGCTGCAATCATTTCTCATCTGTCTCCCTGCCTCAAGCCTCTTCCCTCTAATCCAGCCTCCACACAACTGCCCAAGATGTTCCTAAAGCACAGATCAGACCACATGCCTTCCTCCTCAGGAAGCCCCCAGTAAAGGACGGATCCCCTCTGCCAGGCGTGCTGTCCCCAGCTTCAATTTCTGGCTTAGTTTCCCACATTCCTGATCCTCACCTCTAGGTTCTCGTCAAATCGGTGGACTTGCCGTCCCCGTGCGGAGGTCCTGGCCCTTTGCATTGGCTGGTCCCCCTTTCTTCCCTGCTGCCCCTTAGGACCCCTGGTTCCATTAGAGCCTCAGCTCAGAGCCTTCCCTCTCCCTGCATGAGGCTTGTTCTGATCTCCCCAGCTGTTAGTGCCTCCCCTGCCCTCCTTGACAAAATAACTTGGGGTTTACTTAGCTATCTACCCAGGAGAATAAAGCTCCTTGAGGGCAGGGAATCTTTCCTTTTTGTCTTGGCTCCCCAGTGCCTAGTATAGGGTTTGGTACACAGTAATAAATGCCTGTAGAATTTAATGAAATCCTTGACACCAGAGCCTCCTTTTCTGGCACTGAGCCCCCACCCTGACACTAAGCCTCAATCCTCAAGCCTGAGCTCCCTACTTCCAGCACTGAACCTCCAATATCCCCAGACACTGAACCATCCTCCCTGTCAGTGAGCCCTCATCTCCTCTGAGCCCCATCCCTGGACACTGAGCCCTTTTCCCCGTTAGTGAACACTCATCTCCTTCCCTGGATACCGAGCCTTCATCCCCTCCTCTGAGCCCCATCCCTGGACACTGAGCCCTTTTCCCCGTTAGTGAACACTCATCTCCTTCCCTGGATACCGAGCCCTCATCCCCTCCTCTGAGCCCCATCCCTGGACACTGAGCCCTTTTCCCCATTAGTGAACACTCATCTCCTTCCCTGGATACCGAGCCTTCATCCCCTCCTCTGAGCCCCATCCCTGGACACCAAGCCCTTTTCCCTGTTAGTGAACACTCATCTCCTTCCCTGGATACCGAGCCTTCATCCCCTCCTCTGAGCCCCATCCCTAGACACTGAGCCCTTTTCCCTGTTAGTGAACACTCATCTCCTTCCCTAGACACCGAGCCCTTTTCCCCGTTAGTGAACACTCACCTCCTTCCCTGGATACCGAGCCTTCATCCCCTCCTCTGAGCCCCATCCCTGGACACTGAGCCCTTTTCCCCGTTAGTGAACACTCATCTCCTTCCCTGGATACTGAGCCTTCATCCCTTCCTCTGAGCCCCATCCCTGGACACTGAGCCCTTTTCCCTGTTAGTGAACACTCATCTCCTTCCCTGGATACCGAGCCTTCATCCCCTCCTCTGAGCCCCATCCCTGGACACTGAGCCCTTTTCCCTGTTAGTGAATGCTCATCTCCTTCCCTGGACACTGAGCTATCCTCCCTGTCCCTAAGCCTTCATCTCTCTCATTAAGTCCCTTCTCCAACAATGAACCCACCTACCCAGATTAAGCCCCAAATGACTGTCATTTTGTTTACCATTCCAAAGGCAGAAACTGAAAACTGCTTTGAATTCAGGTAATGTGCAGGTCACCAAAGTCCCCAACACCATCCCTAGCCCAGTACCACCAGCGCCTTCAGCTTTGGGTACTTAACCAAGTCCAAGCCCCTATGGAGGCTGCCCCTAGCGTGACTTCACATGTCCTCAGTTCAGGCTCTTTTTGTCTGGCCTCCTCTCTCTAGTGGCCACCCAGGATTGAATGATCTCCCCTTCTTTCTCCTTACCTAGCATGACCAAAAGTCTGGACTACCACTATTTACAGGCTGTCTTTTCCTACCTGATGTTCGGGTGTCCATCCCCAGCCAGGGTTGTCCCCAAGCAGGGCCAGCCTGCTCCCCAAGCCCAGCCATGTCCACTTCTGCCTGAGGCAGCCACCTCCCCTCTCTCCATGGCTGGGCCAGGCAGGCATGGAGGCATGGGGTGGTTCCTCATTCCCAGGTCCCCATTGGCCTCTGTCTCTTGATTGGCAGACCTAAGAAACCTGTGGGGGAGCAGTGGGGGCACCAACCCCTATCTCAGCTCTCAAACCAGCCCCCTTCCCCTGTGCTGTGGACTCCAAGGAGCTGTAGCTCTGACTTGAGAGAGAGAGAGGGTTTTTCCATCTTAGATTTTAGACTAATTCCTCTCGTGTCCAAACTGTGCTCTCCTGTCTGAGCTCTACTGCCTTGCAACGGGCCCCAGTCTTGAGCACTAAGTCCCCGTCCAGGGCCCCTATCCCCACACTGAGCCCCCATTCCCAACTCTAAACCTTTATTTCTGACATTGAGTGTTTATCCCTGGCACTGAACCCCTCTCCCTAACACTGAGTGTCTATCCCTGGTACTGAAGCTTTATCTCTAGCACTGAACCATTCATGACATTGAGCTCTCACCCTCAGCACTACACTGCCCTGTCTGAAACTGGCTCCCTATCACTTGCAGTGAGCTGTATCTCCAGCCTTGGGCTCCCAGCCTTAACACAGAGCACCCCCATCCTCAGCCCTGAGTCCTCATCCTTGGCCCTGGGCCCTCAAGCTCATCCCTAGCACCAAACCCTCATCCTCAGCCCTGAGCCTTCATCCCTAGCACTGGGCCCCCATCCTCAGCCCTGAGCTGCCATCCTCAGCCCTAGTGCCAAACCCCCATCCTCAGCCCTGAGCCTTCATCCCTAGCACTGGGCCCCCATCCTCAGCCCTGAGCTGCTATCCTCAGCCCTAGTGCCAAACCCATCCTCAGCCCCAAGCCCTCATCCCTAGCACTGAGCCACCATCCTTGGCCCTGAGCTGCCATCTTCAGCCCTAGTGCCAAACCCCCATGCTCATCCCTAGCACCAAACCCTCATCCTCAGCCCTGAGCCTTCATCCCTAGTACTGGGCCCCTATCCTCAGCCCTGAGCTGCCATCCTCAGCCCTAGTGCCAAACCCCCATCCTCAGCCCTAGTACCAAACCCCATCCTCAGCCCTGAGCCTTCATCCCTAGCACTGGGCCCCCTCCTCAGCCCTGAGCTGCCATCCTCAGCCCTAGTGCCAAACCCCCATCCTCAGCCCTGAGCCTTCATCCCTAGCACTGGGCCCCATCCTCAGCCCTGAGCTGCCATCCTCAGCCCTAGTGCCAAACCCCCATCCTCAGCCCTGAGCCTTCATCCCTAGCACTGGGCCCCCATCCTCAGCCCTGAGCTGCCATCCTCAGCCCTAGTGCCAAACCCCTATCCTCAGCCCCGAGCCCTTATCCCTAGCACTGAGCCACCATCCTCGGCCCTGGCACTGGGCCCAACCCCAATACTCAGACCCCATACCTAACAATGAAGTCCTAGCCCATCCCTGACTCTAATTCCCTCCTTGACACTGAATTGTCCCTAGTACTGAACCTTCATCCCTTCCATTCCTTGCAGTGAGCCACACTGACTTGTCACACCTTCACTTGACAGGTCTGAAGCTTCTCTTTCACGAAGCCATTGGAGGCTCAGGAGAGATATATGCAGACACCTTTAGGGCCCCAACGAGGGCTCTTTGCTGCAGCCACAGTCATTCTTCAGGACATCCCCCTCCCCCATGGTGGCTCTGTGGTTCCCGGCCTCGGGCCTGGCTCCAGCTCTCCTGGCCCCCCTCACCTGAAATATCCATGAAGTCGTCCAGGCTGGGCTGCAGGGGGGTCAGGTCTGGTTGGATCATGTCAGCATTGCCAATGTAGGCTGGGGGGGGAGGGCGGAGGCAGTGTCAGGAGAGGCTGGAGGATGAATGGACTGCTAGGCCGTCCATGCCCACCTTCATACTCTCATGGCCTCGTGGAGGAGGGCTCCCCTAATCCCCTCCCAGGGTCCTTACAGAATCACAGAAGCCCAGGGCAAGAAGGGGCCTCAGAGGCCACCTAGTGTAAGCTACTGCTGACCAAGAATTCTCTCTCTAATGTCGTTCACCAGGGGTCGTCTGGTCTGCATGAAGACCACCAGGGAGGGAGGTCATGGGTTCCTCCTCATTAGCATCCTTCAGACATAGGAGTCTTGGTCAGGTATGAGTCAGACTAGGTGGCCTTTGAGACCCCTCCCACCACTGAGTGTGATCCCATGAGGCACCACCACCCTTGGAGGGGGGGCCCATTCACTCCCTTTTGGGCAGCTGGACAACAAGCTTACATCAGGCTCTTCTCTCCTGGTTCTGCCCTTTGGAGCTCAGCAGGACGAGCCCAGTTCTACCACCCTATCTTTCAAGACAGCTGGCATGTCATCCTCTCTTCCGGCCCCTGCTATGTCTTCACTATGCTAAACATCTTTCAGTTCTCCTTCAGTAACATCTCATCCCTTTCTGCAGTGGAGAGATTTTCCAATCTACTTCAGTGCCAGTCACTCCTAAATCCTCTGACCAGGGTCCCCTAGTCCTTCCAACTCCTCTCTGCCAAGGTCGCGTCTAGGGGACGGTTCCAGATTTTTTCCAATGAGGCTCTTCTTTCTCCTTCCTCCCAATGTCATTTTAGAGGTCATCTAATTCAACCCCCTCATTACAGATGAGGAAACTGAGGTATAGATACCCCAGTGTGGGATGACATCCAGCTGAGAGGCAGTCTACAGCAGAAAGAGCACTAGATTTGGAGTCTGGTGAGCTGGGTTCAAATCCTGGCTCTGCCACTCATTACTTGTGTGACTCTGGGCAGGTCACTGCAATGTCCTGGGCCTCAGTTTCCTCATCTGTAAAATGGGGGGGAGATTGGACTCAATGATCCCTTCCAGCTCTAGAGCTATGATCCTATAATCCAGAAGTGAAGTCACTTCCTTGCACTTCTGTCTTTATCTATAAAATGAGGGGATTGGACTGGGTGATTTCTGAGTTCTCTTCTAGCCCTACACCTGTGACCCTGTGCTGCTGAAGTCATACCTCTCTGTGCCTCAGTTTCCCCATCTGTAATATGAAGGGGTTGCATTATATGACCTCCAAAGTCTCTTCTAGCTCTACATCTGACATCCTATGATCTTGAAGTCACAACCTCTCTGTGCCTCAGTTTCCTCCTTAAAACGAGGCACTCCAATGGCCCTTTCAGATCTCCATGAGCCATCCCTCCCACTGGAGTCTTCCCCCTAATATTAGAAGCCGCTAGAGTATGGGCTTCTTACCATCATCAGGAGGCAGCTGGAGTGGGGCAGGACCGGGCTGGGTCATGGTGAAGAGAGTGTCGGAGATGTCGGACAGGAAGCAGTCGAGGTCGACGAGCTGCCGGCCCCCCGGCTCTTCTTCGGGCCCCCCCAGCAGCACCGGTACCACACTGGAGAAGAGCTGCTCGCACCATCGCTCTGGTGGCCTCCACCCCCCCTCCGCCTGGGGAGATGGGCACCGACCAGCAATCCAGCAGGACAGGGGATCACCCTGCGGTCTGCTCCCCCCATCACCCAACTCCTGCTTATAGGGGCAGCTCCTACCAGTGATCCTGCAGAGGTTGGTGGGGGAAGCTCCAGTGCATATACTTCTCCCCCCTCCAGCTGGGGAGATGGTGCCACCCAGCCAACTGGTGGGCCAAGGATCCCCCCACTTCCTACCCCTATGAGCCTTTTCTCTTCCCCTGCTTCTATCCCCTTGTGACACTGATTTTTTTTTTTAAATCACATTCCCTTCTCCCACATATAGTTTTTCATCTTCCTCCCTCTTCCCCAGCTCTTCCTTTGCACCTACCTGTCTAGGGGCGAAGAGGTCCCCTTCCCTGCTGGATTTTCGGAGCTACAGGGACACACAGAAGTTGGATTCCAGCACACAGCACCAAAACATCCCCTCCACCTTCCCACTGTCAGGAGCCCCTCTCCCCCAGGTCCCTGGCTCCCAGATGAGGACATGAGGGTACCACATAGCCACTAGGTGGTGCTGCAAGGCTGGCTGGAGAGAAAGGGATTTCCATCCCAGGAAGGGAAGGGTGGGGGCCCAAGAAGGGCTGGCAGGTCACTAGAGATATGGGGACAGTCTGGGGCTTCCGGCCCCATCCCTGACTCCTGGGAGTGTCTCATCCTGGAAAGGCTATTCTCTGAACACAGCTCTGGACCTGAGCTGGCTTCTGTGGGGAGCCTGGCCCTGGGGGTATGAACCCCGCCTTACACACTTACCCGCTTCTTGTAGTAAATTCGCCACTTGTGGTACTCTCGCATGACAACCTCAATCCTCCGCTTCCAATAATTTCCCTCCAGCACCACAGCCTGGGGAAGGGGAGCACAGGGCCCATGGGAAGGTCATGAAGGCACGAGGCAGGGAGATTCTAGGAGCACCTTCCCAGTTCTTCTCCCTTCCTCACCCTGAACCCTCCCAACTCTGTCCCTGACAACCCAGGGCCTTCTGCCCCAGTTAAGGCAGTCTACAGTCAGAGTGGCAGCAGAGGGAGGAAGACAGGGAGCTGGCCCCCCCAGTGAAAGTCCAGGGGCAGGTTATATCAATCACCCTTCAGAGGAGAGGTGGCTGATCTGGTGGGGGCGGATCTCGAATACCTCTGGTTTCCGGTGCTCATCAGCCTCAGACCCCTGCAGAGGGGTCACGAAACCACACACGGGGCTCTTCCTCCGCTGGACATCTAGGAAGAGGGTGGGCCAAGTCAGGCCACAGGGGACTCCTGCTCTCCCAGGCCTCAATGTCCCAGCTCCCTCCCTCCCCTTGACACTAGGGAGAGAGATTATGCTCCCCTGCCAGCACCCTGCTCATGATGACAGATGGATGCCATTAAGAACTACAGGATATACTCTTACCAATTGGTCCCAGGTCCAGCCCCAAGCTCACCTCCTCCAGGAAGGCACCCAGACTATACCCTCTATCTTTTCTTTCACAGCAAGGACTGCCTGTCCCCTTCATTTTGTAGAAAGCCCTGGATTCAAGTCCTGCCTCCAACACAGACTAGCTATGTAACACTGGGTAATCTTTTAGTATCCCCTGGTAACTGTAAGACTGTAAATTGCAAAGCCGATGCCAACATGTGCTGGTCAAAGGGCCTTCCTCTCTGGTAATTCCCTATAATACTAACTGAATCACAGATTCAATCAGAAACAAATTGTTCCACCTCGCTTATGAGCTATTTTTATGTTCATGTGTATGTGGGGGGGGGCGTGTTTCCAGCTGGAGGGGAAGCCACTCAAGGGCAGGGTCCGAGCCTCATGCTTCCTAGAGCTCCCTTAGCTGGGCCAGGGCCGTGCCCCAAAGGAGACTCAGCAGACACTCAGTTCTAGAAGCAGAAAGGACCTCGCTCTGAGGCTGTCTAGTCTGGGCTCTTCATTTTCTAGATTGGGGGACCGGAGCCCTTTGCCTGTGATTGCCCTAGATGACTCCCCAAGACAGAGCCTGTCAACCTGTGGTACGCATAGCCCCAGGACGTCTGAGGACCTTGCCAAGAAGGTAAAGGGAACACATGGGCACTAGACTGGCTGTAGATCAGTAGTGGGAAGTGCCCTGACTTGGCACTCAGAAGGTTCAAATTCCCCTTCTCATGCCCTGCAACTTGGGGCAGGTGCCTTACCCAGCCTGGGGTTCAGTTTCCTTGGATGTGAAATGAGGCGCTTGAATTAGCTGGTATCTGAGGTCCCCTCCAACTTTCCATGCCTAATCCTAGGTGTTGAGCCTGCAAGACAGGACCTTAGAGGCTAGACCCCCGACTCTAAGGCCAGCAACCAAGGTTTCACTGGAGGAGGGAGACAAGCCTTTGAGGATGCTGAGCCTGACCTCAGTTGGGCGAGGCCTCACCCACTGAGCTCCCAGGTATCAAGCTTGGAGGGAGGCCCAGGAGACAAACCACCCATCATTATCTGGGCTCCAGGGAAGGAATTAGCAAGAGAGCTGCACCCTCCTTCCTCCTCACACCTGGAAGACTTTGGGCAGTCCTTTCATCCTCATCCCCATCCTGGGAAAGACTCTCAGGGAACTGAAGAGGGTCCAGAGAGAGGGAGTTCAGAGGATGTGCAGGGGCAGGGAGACAATGGGGAAGGCTAGTCTAGAAGGACAAGAAGCCTTTCCCATGGCTCGGTCTCATGGGGCTAGTCTTATCTCCCAGGCTCCATTAAGGGCCTGTGTTTCCTACTTCTCCTCCTGCATCTCTATTGTCTGCCTCAGTTTTCTCATCTGTAAAATGGAGATAATACCATCTACCTCTCAGGGTTAAGGTGAGGAGAGAATGAATGAACACCTTAAAAGCCTGAAGGCATGACGCAAAGCTATTATTGGTGGAATGGAGCACAGGGAGGGGTCTTCACTAAAAACACTTGTTATTTTTGGAAAGAACATCAGATTCAGAGAGTTCAGACCTGGTTTCAGGGTCCTGACTCTGCCACTTACAGCTGTACCTCAGTTTCCTCAGCTGCAAAATGGCAATTGAATAGTACTCACTTTGGAAATTCTAATTCTTTAAAGACTAGTGGAGGCAGGCCCTCCACTAGTATAGATTGCAACCCTTCTATAACTTAGTTGACAGTGTTTAAGAATTGCCAAAGCAGAAAAATTCAGCACCTTTTGGCCTTTCTGGTGATGTGCGTCTCAACTGAGTTGGCTGATCCTGAGATGAGAGACAGAGCCTATCCTGAGGCCTCCCACACTGGCAGGTTCATAGATCTCTAGAGCTGTAAGGGACCTCAGAGTGCATCTAATCCAAGCTCTTCGTTTTATAGATGACGTAAGTGAGGACCACGAGAAAAAGTGATTTGCCCAAGGTCACACAGCCAGTAACCATCAGAGGCAGGGTGTGGACCTGGGTCCTCTGGCCCCAGAAGCCATGCTTTTCCTCTTGCACCACAGCCAAGTCTATGCTTGTCCTCCTCTGGCAGCACTTCTGGAAGCTGAGGTCCTTCTGCACCACCAACGAGGCAGCAGGGGTATGACCTAGCCAGCCAGAGAAGATTGTGAGCCCTTATGAAGGAGAGGTGGACTGGAATATGATCAAAGACCTCTGGTGTTTCCCCACGCGTAGAATGAGTGGATGGGACTAAATCAGAGGAGCCTACGTTCACCCCCTGATGTCATCTCGGGTTGAAGAGAGACCCCACCCACTTCCCACTTCCTTTAGCTAACTAAGGTGGTTGCAGCACTCTCAACGCTTGGACTCCTGTGGCGGCAGTCTGGGGAAGCTGAGGGACCCCTTCTCAGAGTCATGCTTTTACATGGACAAAATAAAATGCATAACAACTATATTGAAATACAGGGACCCGGATTTTTTTTTCTTTTTTTAGGCAATTGGGGTTATGTGACTCACCCAGGGTCACACAGCTAGTAAGTGTCAAGTGTTTGGCCTGAGGTTGGATATGAACTCAGGTCCTCTTGACTTCAGGGCTGCTCTGTCCACTGTGCCGCCTAACTACCCCTCAGATTTTTTTTTTAAGAACAAGTTCACATAGCCCTGTGTTAAGAACTCTTGCATTAGTTGACCTTTAACCTCCCTCTCAGCTCTATCATTCCAGGGCTCTTGGTCTATTGTATCACAAAGGGGTAGGAGCTCATAAGAATGCGGATCTGAAGCTAGAAGGGTCCTTAGAGATCATCAGGTCCAAACCTTCCATATTATAGATGAGGAGACTGAGGCCAAGACACGTGAAGTCACTGGCCCAGGGTCACACAGCTAGTAAGTATCTGAGCTGGGATTTGAATCCAAGTGTCCCTGACTTCAAGCCCAGTGTTCTAGCCTCTGAAGAGAAAGATGTGGCTTTGCTTCAAGTTTTATTTGGGGTTGTCTCATTTTAATCTTTGTAACCCCCCATAAAAATTTATCAAATGAAATATTTATAAAAAGTGGTAAGCACAGTGCTTGGTATACTTTTTTTCTTCCCAAAGCCTGGGATACAGTAGGTGCTAACGAAATGCTTGTTGATTGAAATCTTGCAGCTACAGCCGTGGCTGAAAGGAAGAAGACTTTCAGATGGTCCCGGGGACAGATGTGGGACCAGACTTGGGATTTCACTGATGCAGGGGACTCCAGGATGAGGAAGGTCCATTCACTAAGGCAGACCAGCATTTTCTCTGCTATCTGTTGCCTGGGGCACAGAGAATCGCTCCAGGTCACTGAGGCAATAAGTTCAAGGTGGAACTTGAAGCCAGGCCTTCTTGACTCTGAGGTCTTGGAGTGAGGCGGGGCGAAAATCAGGGGCTCATCCACCCCGAGAGAGGATAGGCTGAGTATATGAACATGTTCCAGCCACGAATGGACAAGCCTTGAATGACACATCCACCTTAGCTAGCTAAGGGCAGTTGGAAGTGGGCGAGGCCTTTCTTTAACCAGAAATGACACAAGGGAGTGACCTTGGGTTCCGTCAGACTGACTGACAAAACCTCGAGTTCAATGGACCGTGGATCTGACCCCAGGGATGCAGCTGGTGTTCTGAGCCAAGCACCCTTGCCATGCGGTAGGCAAGGCATCATATCCGGAGCGTCGGAGGGAGCAAGGTTTGAATCCTGGCTGCTGCTGCCCATCTGGGGGACCCTGGATGAGTTACCTCATCTCTTAGGTCCTCAGTCTCCTCTTGTATCAAAGAGGAGGCTGGACCGTCTCCTAGGATCAGAGCTGCCGCAGCACCAGCTCAACACCCTCAAGTTACAGATGAGGCAACTGAGGCCCAGTGAAGCCTGGTGTCACCCAGCTGAGTCCTAGCTGCCAGAATTCTAACATAACACGTCAGGGGTGGGATTTGACATCAAAGTCCCTCCTTCCTCCGAATCTCTGATCCTATGATCACCCAACTCCCCATCGACGGCCCAGCTCGGGGGAAGTCTCCCAGACTCCGGATGGAGAGATGTGTGTTGAACCTGAGAAGGCCATGACTGGGGGAGAAGCACAAAGCCTGGCATGGCTGAGGCGGGGAGCACGGCAAAGCGGAGGCCCCAGCCCAGCTCCCCGTAGCCCGCCGGCTGCCCATCCCCACTCACACTGGATGTACCAGGCCCTCCAGATTGCGTTGTTGAGGCGAATCTTGTCTCTGCAGAGCAGCTTCAGGCCTTTGAAGTTCTTCCACTTGGGAGACACCAGTTTCCCACTGTGAGGGGCAGAGCAGTCTGGGTCAGGGAGGCCTGAGGGACGTAAGCGAGGAAAGACAGCCCCTTCCCCCAGCACTGGTCACCACCTCCAGGGGTATTTCACATGGCCACCTCCAATCCTCATACAACAGCGGCAGGCAGTCACCTGGTATCTGGCAGGGGCCCCAAGTCCCCTGTGGCCACCTCCCCCACCTTCCCCATGTGCCTGTTGCCTTCTCTGAAATTCCCCTTTCACTTCTTTGAGTAAAGGCATAAAAAAATAAAAAAGTCCTCATTAAAGTACAAATTTCAGCTATGTTATGTGTGGGTTGATGGAAAGACCCCTGTAGTAGGAGTCGGGACCCTGGGATCCTGTCCTGGATTTACCAGTGATTCCCTGTGTGATCTTAGGGAAGTCACTTCCCCTGCTACTGCAATAGCCTGCTAACAGGGGGCTCTGCCTCAGGCCTCCTCTCACTCCAGTCTATCCTCCACCCAGCTGCTAAAGGGATTTTCCCTAAAGTATAATTTGGATCATGTCACTCCCCTGCTCAATAAACTCCAGGCCCCCTACTGCCATATATAAATGCCTTTCTTTGATATGCAACACTCTTCCCAGTTTGGCTTCCATCTACCTTCCCAGTCTCCTCACATTTGACTTTCTTGCCTTCCTTCTACAGTCCAGCCATGCTGGCCTATTTGTTATTTCTCCTACAGAATGCTCTGTCTCTCACCTCCCTGCCTTTGCTCTCGTCTGTTCTGCATTCCTGCCTCACACCTGCCTCACAGAATCCCCGGCTTTCCTTCTAGCCTCTGTTCAAGTACATTAAGACTTTCCTTCCTCCCACCAGCTACTCGTGTATCCCATTTCCCCAAACTACACTGTATTCATTTTGCATATTTTCTGTATCCCCAAAGATGTGTATGGGTTGTTTCCTCCACTAGAATGTAAGCTCCTTGAAGGCAGGGTCTGTTTGCCCTTTGTTTTAGTATCTCCAGTGCTTAGCATAGTACCTTGTACACAGTAAGGGCTTAATAAATGTTAATTGCTCTATTTCCCTCTCTGGACCTCAGTTTCCCTCTTCCATTTCTAACATTCACAGCTCTATAATTATACTATCTGAGAAACATGGTAACATCCATTAACACCCTAGCTGAAATTACTCTATAAGTCCCAACAGAGGCATGCAATGAGAAATGAGACATGTTGGGTTTGGCTGTGATGGGGGGAGTAAAGGACAGGGAAATAGAGGACAGGCACAGGGCAGGGAGAGGAGCCTTCTCCCATCCCTTCTCAGCAGCCTCTTTTCCCTCCCAGCATTCCTTAATCCTGGTTCCCTCCTGGTTTCCCCAGTTCCCCATACATCCCCTGTCCTGTGTACTGCTCCCACAGGCCTCACAACCTCTGCTGAGGAGATAGGCGCCTACACCCTGCCTTATCTGCACGGTTGCAGGGGGACTTTTGGAAGGACAAAAAGCCACCACAAGTGGAAAGCCAAAGTCACTGCCTATGGGGAGCTCTTGGCCTGCCATGGCTCTGTCTGCTCTCCCAGCTGGGTCTGGCTAGGCCCAATCCAGGTCCCTGAGTGGTGTCCAGCGGCTCAGGTCCCAGCTTTTCCTTGTGGAGTATCGTGAAATGAGGTACGGGGAGGGGAGTCACTGCTCGGGGGAAGAGTGCCCCCTCCTGTGATGATAACACCCTGAGATCAAACTTCATTTGCCCTATGCTAGTTACAGCCTGTTCCAGGAATATGCCCTGGGACAAGTTCAGGCCAGCCTGGCATCTGGGAGAATGGATACTGTCAATGATTATTTCTACTGCACAGGCCCCAAAGACCTCAGACTCACAGAAGGATCTCAGAGGTCCTTTTACAGGAGGGGAAACTGAGGCACGGGGCTATGAAGTGGCTTGCCTAGCTCACACAGCTGGGATGAGCTCAGGTCCTTTGACTCCTTCTGTCTCCTTCTGTCCTTCAGGGAGTCTGGTTGAACTCAGGCCTATTCCTTGCCTGGCTCAGCCTTGGGGCTTGGGAAGAAATTCAAAGATTTAGGTTGGTTTATCAGAAGGCTCTAGGACCAAAGCGTGCTCCCCCGCCCCTGCGTTTGTGTGAGGACTCGTGCTTCTCCGTGCTCCGTGGCTCTGTCCCTAGCTCTCCTGCAGTCCCTCTCCACCCCCATCTGTGCCTCCCCGTCTCCAGGTTGTGTATTTGCTCAGTAGCAGCTGGAGGGGGCTGGTCGGAGGCCCCGGGAGCGAGAGGCCTCATTGCTTTAACACAGTGTACATAATGCCAGGCACACGAACATCCTTCCTCTCCTGTCCCAGAAAAAAAACACCATCTGGAAAGGAAGAAGAAATGGAGGGGAGGGAGGGTGGGGCTTATATAGCCCCTTCAGCCCCCACACAAACTGAGCTGCTCTCCCCATCTGGAGCCTCAGGCCTGGAAGGGACCACGCCCCTCAGTTTTACCGACAAGGAAACTAGACCCAGAGTGGTTAAGTGACGTGCCCAGGATCACAGAGCAGAGGCAGGATTTGAACCCGGGTCTTCTGAGCTCCAAGTCTAGCACTCTAGACCCTGTGCCAGCTATCTCTGGCAGGCCAAGGAATGGGGCAAGGAGAAATGGACTGAGTCTGGAGGGGTTAGGCTAAAAGTTTTGAAAGGAATGGGAGCAGACTGCTAAGCCTTCAATGGCAAACACTTTAAAAGCCTAAGCAGGTGACGTGGATTGGGATGTGGAGCAGAGACTGGAGGCCCAGACAGGGCAGGGGCTTGATCAGTTACCTCAAAGCCACTCAATAAACCTACAGGCAAGAGCGAAGCCCTGCCCCCAAGCACTGACCGCCTTCCATTTTAAGATTCCTTGGATTCTGGAAAAACCATAGAGAAGTAGCAGCTGAAGGGGACTTTATAAAAGCAGCGGCTCTGGAGGCAGCTAGGTGGCGCTGTGGATAGAGCTCTGGCCTTGGAGTCAGGAGGACCTGAGTTCAAATCCAGCCTCAGACGCTTGACACTTACTAGCTCTGTGACCCTGGGCAAGTCACTTAACCCTTGCAAAACCAAAACAAAACTTCATAAAATAAATGCAACGGTGGGGTCTGCCAGCATATGGAGCACATCTGAAAGACTGGAGCCATCACACACTTGTGTTCTGTACAAGCTTATCGGTACCCCGACCTGGGGCAACTGATCACAGGAGATCTTTGTTTGAAATGATGAGTGGGGGCCTGTTTGCTTTCTCTCCTTCATTCTATTTTGTATCAATAATTGCAGATCCCTCATATCTTTTCCAGGCAGCTAAGTGGTACAATGGATAGAGCACTGGCCCAGAAGTCAGGAGGACTCGAGTCCAAATCTGGCCTCAGACACGGTAGCTATGTGACCCTGGGCAAGTCACTTTACCCTGTTTGCCTCAGTTTCCTCATCTGTCAAATGAACTGGAGAAGCAAATGGCAAATCACTGAAGTATCTCTGCCAAGAAAACCCCTGATGGGGGCATGGAGAGTCAGACATGGCTGACAACTCAAAACCAACATATCCTGGCATGCGCAGCTTGCTCCGTAATTAGTTCCTTTGTTCGGATATTTTATGCTCAGATATCCTGAGTATCGTTTGCTTTGATCATTCAGTTTTGACTTTTTATCTACATATGTCCTATTATCCAGTCTGAGTACAACCCACGGATTCATGGATGTGCCCGCCAGGCTGTGCAGAACAAGGTTTGGGGGTGGCTGGGAAGAAGCCCGCCCCTGGTATGGCCTAGGGATCACTGGGCATGGGGACACAGATCTGATATGGGGCTAACATGGGGACACACAGCTTAGCTGGTGGGGTGGCCATCCTTGGAGACAGCCAACATTTACTGAAACAAGTGATTTGGATGACTGATGTATATTTCCTCCTCTATTGACACTAATTGAGGCAGATGATAAAGGGGGAAGAAGGACCCACTCAGGGTCAATTTCAGGCTTGAAAAGTACAGCTTGGTTGAACCTGCCATCCAGTCCACTGTCAAACATCCTGGGGCCCAGCCCTACATGGCTGATGGGATAACACTTGAGGATCCGTCTGTCCTTTCTTCACTATCTCATTCAATGATTCAGCTCTTTAGGGGAGTGTGTCGAACAGTTACTTTTCCTAAACATGTGAAGAATTTGGTTACTTGGACCAATACAAGGTATGGAGGAAGAGGGGTAAGGAGCTAGAGCCTGAGATTGGGAGGCAGAATGCCTGGGTTTGCCCAGCTCTGTCAGCTTCTGTGTGGTCTGGAGAAAACCATGGAATTATAGAATCTTAGAGGTAGAAGGCGTTCAGTGTTCGTAATGCAGGCTCTCATCACCTCTAACCTGGATCATTGCAGAAGCCTCCTAACTGGCCTTCCTCCCTCCAGCCTCTTCCCTCTCCAATCCATTCTCCATGAGGCTTCCCTAAAGCACAGATCTAGGTAACATTCTTGCTCAGTAAACCCCACTGGCTCCCTATGGTCCCTAGGGTCAAACACACACTCCTCTGTGGGTCATTTAAAGTCCTTCATGACCTGGCTCCGGCCTACCTTTCCAGCCTCATTCTATATAACCCTTCATTCACTCTGCGGAGCAAAGCAGCCACATACGAGACATTCCATCGACCATCTTCACGCATTTGCCGAGGCCGTCCCCTCTGATTACAATGTTCTACCTCCTCATCCCCTCGGTTTACTTCAAAGATCAGGGTCACCTCTAACAGTAAGCCTTCTCTGATCTCTTCAAGGGCTAGTGCCTTACCCCCCCCCCCATTACCTGGTGCTTATCTGGTAAATTGTTCTTAATTAGAACACTATGAGAACATTAGAGCCTGTACTTGGATTTGCTCAGAGCTGACCTCATACACTTATTAGTTGTGTGATCCTGGGAAAGTCACTTAAATCTCTGAGTCTCAGTTTCCTCAGCTGTAATTTGAGGGGGTTGGATTTGACGGCTTCTAAATGACATTTTTGTATTTGTATTTGTTGCTATTCCACTTGTCTTTATTTTGTATACACCT